GTTTACTCGTGGCGTTCTAAGCCCCTCGATGTTCGCAGGCTTAGGATACTGATCGACCTTTGCTTGGGTCTTTTCGTCTGGAATTTTGTCTTTGAGGAGACTATTCACAATGTTAGCCAGTTCCTCATCCACAGCGCTCCCAGTTTTCTCACTCAGATCGAGATCCTGAGCTATATCATGAAGAGCACTAGTGCTCTTTGATTTGTTGTTTCCCGCCTCGCGGGCTTTGGTCAATTCGCTGACCTTTGTATCGAGAGAAACAATTGATTCTCTGTCAGCATCTCCGTGCTCCAGTTCGCCCTCTTCGTAGTCGAGGTCCTCGTCTTCGAGGTTCACGGGCTCGCTCAGCTGATCCATTCGTCGGTTCATTGCTTTCATTTCTTGGACAACCGACTGGACCATGCTGGCCAAAGCGTTCATGGTTGGCGTCTCGCCGGACTCGTTGGGGACGTCGCGAGATGCTCCTTCAAGTTCTGTCATTTTTCGAGTTCTAACCTCGTTAGAGCTACGTATTTGTGATGTAAGACCAACTACGTTGGTTCTTAAAGGTTCAAGTGATCTAACTACGTTAGATTCAACTTTTTTCAGTTGTTTTCTTCTTAATCTTCTTAGAAATCGACTTGCTTGATGCGACGCACGTGTGCAATGACTTGACGCATGCGCTGTGCTATCTCATGGGCTCTCCATGCCTCCGGTCATGTGATAGAACTCATAATGAAACGACAATTTTGTAACTCCATCTTTTATATCCAATTTTTGTTTTGTCAAGTCAAAGTAAACAAACGGGAACAAAGACTCAAAATTTGTTCTATTAAGTAGTGTTCCGCCTTGAAAGTCATTATTTGCGTAAACATAACCCATTACTTCTCTGAAAACTCTTGCTGGATCTGTAGCTGGTTTAAAGTGAATATCAGGGTACTCATTTCCATTTCCAACCTCAAGATAACAACGAGATATATTAGCATTGTTTGGTAGATTAAAAGTGTTGTATAAAAATGGATTTGCTGTTTGTAATTCAATATTGGCTGTGTTAATTCCAAAAACAAAGACATGGCGAGGTTTTGAGATTGCATTTGTAATTCTAAAATGACCTGTTTGCTGTTGAGAGTTATTTGATCGCTCTACTACTTCATTAAGATACACCCATTTGTAGGGTTTAAGATAATTTTCCATATATAGTTTTTGTCCCTCTGCGTTAAATGTCACTCTTGGAACAAATAGTTGAAATCTTGTTAGTATAACTCTACAAGCATTCCCTCCGGCTCGCCAGATAAGATTGTTATCCGATTCTAGTTCTATATTCAACTCAATTTTTGTATTTGGAAGAAGTTTATCCTCTAATGATTCAAAGAAAGAATATCTGTTAAGAGGAATTTCACATCGTACTGTTGCTGAGTCGCCTAATATTGCTTTTCTTATTGCAAAACCTTTGTTATAATTAGCTACAGAGGTTAAAAGTGCTGCTGTTTGTCCATCACCTGCAGCATTTCTTACATTTCCAGTGGTAAATTTTTGTCTTTCAGCNGCTGTGTTAATTCCAAAAACAAAGACATGGCGAGGTTTTGAGATTGCATTTGTAATTCTAAAATGACCTGTTTGCTGTTGAGAGTTATTTGATCGCTCTACTACTTCATTAAGATACACCCATTTGTAGGGTTTAAGATAATTTTCCATATATAGTTTTTGTCCCTCTGCGTTAAATGTCACTCTTGGAACAAATAGTTGAAATCTTGTTAGTATAACTCTACAAGCATTCCCTCCGGCTCGCCAGATAAGATTGTTATCCGATTCTAGTTCTATATTCAACTCAATTTTTGTATTTGGAAGAAGTTTATCCTCTAATGATTCAAAGAAAGAATATCTGTTAAGAGGAATTTCACATCGTACTGTTGCTGAGTCGCCTAATATTGCTTTTCTTATTGCAAAACCTTTGTTATAATTAGCTACAGAGGTTAAAAGTGCTGCTGTTTGTCCATCACCTGCAGCATTTCTTACATTTCCAGTGGTAAATTTTTGTCTTTCAGCATTTCTTGTTTTATCAAGATAGTAAAATTCATTTGTGGCAACACTCTCGACATAAGAGGGATTATACTCAAGCAAATTCTTAATATTTACTACATGATTTGCATAATTACAACTGTAAACATCTCTACCATTTGCAAGGATGGATAACTTTTCTATGAGGGAACTACTTCCATTTACTATTCCCATTTGATCTCCATCTGCATCTATACCAGCTCCATCAGCCAGCTGATGAACTTTGAAATCTACTGAAAATCGCGCGTTATACCAATCAAAAGGAGTAGCTTCCTGTGTTATCAGCAACAAATCTATGACCTGTTTTAGTTTGATGAGCATTATTTCCAGGTGTTGCTAAAGCCTGTTCAAGGTCAAAAACAACATCTTCATATCTTTCTAAATATTTTGGATTTCTAAAAGACTTCATTTTATTTTAATAATTATATAATTTTTCTCTTACGTGTTGAACCTCCGCTAAGAATGGCATTCACTCTTTGATTTATCTCTTGTTGAGTGTTTGGAATTGTTTCAACATTTTTATTAAAAGTAACTTTTTTTTTGGAGGGTACAGCCTTCTCTTTTGATAATATTTGCACTATTTTATCACCAGCCTTTTTACCTACATGTTCACCAGTTTTTGTTGCAGTCATTGTTAGTGCTTTTTCAGCACTCTTTTTAGCAGCTTTTTTCATTGTCTTACCAAATATTATTTTACCAACCGATTTAAACACATCCATCATTCCTTCTCCATAAATATGTTGTCTTGTATATCTACCCAATTCAGGGTCAAGTTTCATTTTAAACTCTGATGTGATATTTGGTAGTTTTGTTCCATACTCTGTTTTTGTAATAAGTTTCTTTTCAAATCCAATTAGGTCTCCAAATTTTGTTCCTCTCAAATCAAGTTGATAGTTATTACTAACTGAAATTAAAATTCGATATGTGGAGAGAATAAAAGTTAGATTGATTGAATACTTCTTTTCTCCTTTGGAGTCTGTTGAGTGATGATTTTTTTGATCCATATATTGATGAATGTAATCATTAATATCTGAGTAGGAATACATTCCATCTGTAAAAGTAATTGTTTGCCATGTGGAACCATCGTGAGTATATTTGATTTTGTTATTATCGTAATCACTTCTAATGTTGTACCAAGAGTAAGTCATGGACAGTCGATCAAGAGCAAGTTCATGTTTCTTATCAGGGTCAAGTTTCAGAGATGGATTAAACTTTATAGTAAAATCACCAGGTCTGCTTGTTCCTCTTTTTTCTCTATTTATTGAGGATATGTGGATAGCTCGTTCTTCCATTTATTAAATAGATATATAATTTTTTAGTAAATCATTTAGTTGTTTTTTTGAGATTACTTTCATTTGGTTGAGAAGATGTGCTATTTGAGAAAACTCAGGTATTACACCATTATTCCCAGCAAGAATTGAACCACCAAGTAATTCAAGTCTGTCTAGGAGTTGATGTGGGTTGTTAAAGTAAATACCTTCTCCTACCTTATATTTAAGAGATCTTAAATAATCTTTCATAGTATTTTTATATTTCATTAGTGTTCCTTTTTGCATTTTTTTAATTTCAGTTTCAGCTTCATACAGTGGAGATGGATTTTTAGCTTTCTTTCTACCACTAATTTCACCAGTTAACTGTTTTATATTACCTTTTAATTCTTCTAAAGTTAGATCTAAATCTTTAGGATTAATTTCAAAAAAATCATTTGGTCTTGGGTATCCATATTCTTTTAATAAATTTAGATCATGCCCGTCAAAGTTTTTTTCTAAATTTAAATAATCATCTTTTTTAGAACTATATCCTGGCACCCAATTTTTATCCCAACCTTCTTCATAGTCATATTCACCCAAGTCTTCTTGGGGGTATGGTAATTCTCTCATATCAGCTAATCGGTTGAACTGTTCAAAACCTTGAGTAAGAGCAAGTTGATTTTTTTTAAGTTGTGCTATAGTTGCGTTTTGCTGTTCATCAATACTTTTTTTAATACTATCCTGTGATTCAATAAGTGGTTTAAATGTTTCTTTAAAACCCTCTCTCATATTTTGTTTTTCCCATTTTGTTATTTTTATGATATCTCTCACCTGTCGAGTCAAAGCATCAGCTTCAATTTCATTTCTTGCAAGTTTTTTGTATTCTTCAATATCCATTTATATATTCATTAGATAAATGGAAATACCAAACTATGATAGTGGTGACAATCCAGATAAAAAATATAAACAGTTATTTCCTTACATGCCATCAGACACATTTAGAATGTTAATCTGTGGAAACAGTGGAAGTGGTAAGACTAATTTGTTGTACCATGTGTTAATTAAACCACTGTTGTACTATGATGAGATTTATCTTTACGCGCGTAATTTAGAACAGGATAAGTACCAAAATGAGTTTGGATAGAGTGCGAGCCAGCGAGCCATGCGAGCCATGCGAGTCATACAAGCGAGCCATGCGAGCCATGGCAGCGAACCATGCGAGCCATCTGAAAACCTATCTACACGAACGATGAAACCGTATCGGTTTCAAAACGCGCAAAGCGTTTCTAACACGTTTCTAAATCCTTTCTCTTGATCACGTGGTATGCCACTTTTAAAAAACTTCAAGAAAAGACAGACAAACACTGATAGAAGCAACGGTTTCTTTCCCCGCTTGGATCGATGTTTAGCGTGAAACCACGCTTCGTTGCTTCAACGAGACACTGCGTNTCAAAACCTTGAGTAAGAGCAAGTTGATTTTTTTTAAGTTGTGCTATAGTTGCGTTTTGCTGTTCATCAATACTTTTTTTAATACTATCCTGTGATTCAATAAGTGGTTTAAATGTTTCTTTAAAACCCTCTCTCATATTTTGTTTTTCCCATTTTGTTATTTTTATGATATCTCTCACCTGTCGAGTCAAAGCATCAGCTTCAATTTCATTTCTTGCAAGTTTTTTGTATTCTTCAATATCCATTTATATATTCATTAGATAAATGGAAATACCAAACTATGATAGTGGTGACAATCCAGATAAAAAATATAAACAGTTATTTCCTTACATGCCATCAGACACATTTAGAATGTTAATCTGTGGAAACAGTGGAAGTGGTAAGACTAATTTGTTGTACCATGTGTTAATTAAACCACTGTTGTACTATGATGAGATTTATCTTTACGCGCGTAATTTAGAACAGGATAAGTACCAAAATGAGTTTGGATAGAGTGCGAGCCAGCGAGCCATGCGAGCCATGCGAGTCATACAAGCGAGCCATGCGAGCCATGGCAGCGAACCATGCGAGCCATCTGAAAACCTATCTACACGAACGATGAAACCGTATCGGTTTCAAAACGCGCAAAGCGTTTCTAACACGTTTCTAAATCCTTTCTCTTGATCACGTGGTATGCCACTTTTAAAAAACTTCAAGAAAAGACAGACAAACACTGATAGAAGCAACGGTTTCTTTCCCCGCTTGGATCGATGTTTAGCGTGAAACCACGCTTCGTTGCTTCAACGAGACACTGCGTGCGTCGATAGACCTTGTCACGGTTTTCGACGCTATCCTGACGAGTAGGCAAACGCGTGAGAAATTACAGTGTTTGTATGAGAATCCAATGTCGAATAATTTCCGTAGAACGGCTGTTCTGAAAAAAATATGATTTGTAAACTAAAGCTTCACTCCTAAGGCTTCTCCTGAAAAAATTTGAGGGCGTTACATGCACTAGAAGACCTAGAACCACTTTTTAAAATTTTCTATACATTTGTCTGTAAGAAAGTCCCGGGAAAATTACAGACAAATATTTGGAAAATCTAAAGCAAGTCTCTGAAGAAATTTACGCACAGGTACGCCCCCCAAATTTTTTAGGACAATCCTTTGCTTTGTAGCTTTAGTTTACAACTGATATTTCTTTCAGAACAGCCGTTTTACGGAAATTATGCGACATTAGATTCTCATACAAACACTGTAATTTCTCACGCGTTTGCCTACTCGTCAAGATGGCGTCGAAAACCGTGCCAAGGTCTATTTGCCATCTGCGAACTAAATAAAATACATAAAACATTAGCAATGATGAATAATTCATTGCACAAAACAGCTGACAACAGACTAAAGCAAAGGTAAATCAGGTAAATACTCACTTTTAGAAGCAGTTTATTGCTAGATTGATTCGACTGAACTGGATTGTCCAAAAGGATTGAAGACTCTGAAGATCCGGCCACGAGCACGCTGAACGGTTCGCAAGAACGAAACAGGAGACAAAGACTATCAGAGAGGGGAGAGAAAGTCAAAATTTGTCGCTCTCCCTCGACCCAGACTGTTCGCGTCCAAAATAACATGGCCACCGCGTGAGCCATCGCTGTTTAATATTCGCGATTGAAAGCACATTTCTAGCAGCAAAACCAATTACAAAACGAACTATTTCCAATTAGAATATTATTAAAAATTTATATTTTCCGATGGCTCCCATGCCTCGCATTGCTCGCACGCCTCGCATGGCTCGCTGGCTCGCAGATTATCCGGACCCACCAAAATCTAATTCAAAAAATGAGGGAGTTGAGTAGTAAACTAGGATATGAAATACTTCATGTGAGTAATGATGAAATAACCCCAGTGACAGAAATGGATTATGAAGACAATCAAAAACTTGTGATATTCGATGACTACGTTTGCGATAAAAACCAGAGACAACTAATTGATTATTTCATTCAAGGACGACATAAGAATTGTTCAGTGGTATACCTCAGTCAATCGTTTTATAAAAACCAAAGGACATTCGGCTGAATTGTTCTCATTACTGTTTATATGAATTTCCATCATCGAGGGAGTCTAATAGAATGTCATCTGAGTTAGGAGTTAGTAAAGAAGATTATAAAGCAGCAACTAAAAAACCGTATTCATTTCTATACGTTGATAAACCAAGAAAACGTATTGCAAAAAACTTTATTGGTAATATCTAACCATTAAATAAAATGGGAATATTTAACGAACAATCTCTTGATCATCCCTTTGCTAAGGGAATACAAGGAGCACCAGGGGTTGGATTTAATCTCACTTCAAGTGGAGATTATGATATGATAAATAAAAAACTAAGAAATGTTGGTTCACCTAGTGCTAATACTGATGCTGCTACAAAAAAATATGTCGATGATAATTCCAGTGGATCGCCCAAAACATCACAGCTAACAGTTGATTCAAACATTAATATGAATAATCATCGAATTACAAATCTTATCACACCACAGGATTCTAAAGATCCAGCAACAAAATATTATGTAGACAACACATTTCTTGACAGAGATGGATCTTACCCAATGAAAGGAAATCTTAATATGGACAACAATCGAATATATAATATACCAGCTCCAGATGGACCCAAACAACCAACACCACTAGCTTTCACAGATTTAAAATATCTTCATGTTACTGGAACAAATAGTATGTCTAATAATTTAAACATGAATAACAAAAAAATAAATCTCTTAGCTTCACCAACAAGCTTAAATGATGCTGCAAACAAAAAATATGTAGATGATACACTTCTATTAAATAATATAGCTATGAGTAATTATTTGAAAAAAGATGGTACTGTTGCAATGACTGGTAACTTAAATCTTAACAACAATAAAATAGTTGGTCTCGCTACTCCAACATCAAATACAGATGCCGCAACCAAAAAATATGTGGATGATAATGCTGGAAGTCCAGATTTGAGTGATTACTTGGAAAAAGATGGTACCGTCACTATGACTGGTAACCTTAATCTTGGTAATAATAAAATAGTTAACCTCAGTGACCCCACCACAGATCAACAAGCTGTTAATCGCGGATGGGTTCGTAAACAAATAGAAAGGTTTGATCATCATTCTGGAGAAGGAACAAGTAGTGTATTTACTATAACAAATCCAGCTGCATCAACGACTTTGTATCTACAATATATCTCAGGTTCATCATTTGATGATTTTGTTTTTACAACATCATCACCTGGTCAACCTCTTGTAGGGTGGACACCAACTGCTAACACATACATTAACAAAATAGAATTTCAATTTGGTTCGCGAAATATAAACGTTGACTTTCTGTGGTTTATACCCAGAGATGGCTCTCATTCCAATTCTAACTTTTGGGTAAGTGGAAATCAAACTGGCACTTGGTCATTAAATATTCACAAGTCTTGGAACTACAATATGTCAGGAGTAAAACTAAGAACCCATAACAATTCAAATCACACAGCTATCACTTGTCGGCTATTGACTGATCTACCCAAAGCGATAACCAAACCACTTAAGAGAATAGAAATTAACACACCTAAAATTGTAATAAGTGGGCTTGTAAAAGCTGATGTCAACCTTGGTTGTAATAAAATAGAGAATCTGGGTGTACCAACCCAAGACAATGAAGCAGTAACCAAAGGTTATGTCGACAATCTAGTTCATCATACTGCAGTTCAACCAAGTCATTACAAAAATGAGTTTGCTTATCTCATGTCAAGTGGGGCTCAATGGACTGATGAAATAGATGGAGGAGTTAGTTTTGTTATAAGAAGTATAGGAAACTTAACTCCTTCTAAAGGTAATTTTCATGACTATAACCACAAAGTTATTTACATGTCTATAATCAAAAATTCTCAAGGTAAATATATTTATAAGATGGGAATTAATTTTTTCAGACTAGCTGCAAATACTGATTACACGTTGTGTTTAGAAATACTCAACACAGATTATAATCTTTGGAATAATAGTAAAATAAGTGTTGACAAAGGAACTTCAACAGGATTGTCAGTTGGAAATGTAGGTGTAAAAAAACTTTCCCATAGGTGTACTGATTTAACAGGGAAAACACAAACTATGTACTACCACTGAATAATAGTTAATTTCCGAAAGTTGTCATCTGGGAATAAGTTCTTTCTTCACATTTTAGTTGATATTCTTCGTGGTGGATATAACTTGACTACTTATCCGAGACAGTTTTTAGGGGTTTATATGATTGCTTATGGTATTATGGGTACATTTAGCAATATCGATCCAGATAAAGTTTACGACTATCACACCGCATTTGATATTAAACCAACAGAAGTTAAGTATAATGTTGACATTAACAGAAATAATAAAAAAATACTAAATATTGCTCTCGACAGAAACAGTAAAAATAGCGCTGCCACAGTTGCTATGGTGAATGAGTTAGTTGATTATACAACAAATATTGTTTACAGAAAATATTTTAGTGAATTCTTTGACTTTACTAATGCAAATAGTTATGTATTAAATAAACAATCATCTGGAGTTGTTTTTAATGCTTTATCCTCGGTTACAGGTAATTCTGCAAGAAATCTTACTTTTCCAAATAAAACAATTGACATTATAAAAAAAGATGGATTGAATGTTAATGGTTATACCATTTCTTACTCACCTGCTACTGGTCATACAAGTTACACGTTATGTATTATTTTTAATCTTTGGAGAAATAGGAATTTTAGCATTACAAAAAAAGATATAAATAGTAATCAACTTTTACTATATTTATATTATCTTAATGTAAATAATACACTAAATTTACATATCAGTAATACAAGAAAAAATATACCAATCCCAAGTAGTTTTAATGGAAAAAAAGTAGTTTTATGGTTAGCAGAAAATATTAGAACAAGTACTACAAAAGTTAAAATAAGTAACTACTCCGCAGAAATAGTTGCTTCAGTTGTTAGTCACTCAGCTAATCAAAAATTTGAGTTTTTAGATCAAGATGGAATAATCGAAAAATTTATGTACTCCCCAAACTTTTACGACACCGGCTCTGTGGATTATCACAAAATAATTCTTCAGGAAAAGTTAAATGGATCATATATAGTATAGGGGAAGCTACTGCTCACTAATGTAAACAAAAGAATAAATGAAAAGAAATAGTAGTAAAAGAAAGAGTATTTTTGAATTTAATCATATTGATAAATCTTTATCAGAAGAGCAAAGAGAAACTATAACAGACCTTTATAAACATTATCACAAGAAACAATGGTGTTATAAAAAATCTTATAAATCTTATAAATTTTTAGATAATTTTTTTTCTATTACTAGTTTGTCTCTTATTGCTGTTGGCACTATTACAGGAGGACTAACATTAAATCCTATTATTCTTGGAGTAATAAACGGAGCAGGAGTAATTGTGGCTGGAATTACAAAAAAGAAGGATTTTAAGAAGAAGATAGAAACAACAAAGCTGGCTTATACTACGTATGAGAAAGTATTAGTAGAACTGCGATCAGCACTCAGAGGAGATGAGTGGAATAAACAAGAATTTATAGATCGTATTAAAATATTAGATGAAATGATAATTGATCAGTGTCCATCAAGTGTGGATAACTTTGCGGAGAAATATAAAAATAAATTTAATATATAATAGATTAAATATTAAAATTAATATTTAATCCAATAGATATTTTTTTATAATCCTTCATTAACATTTCTATATTAAAAAAAGGTAAACATTTCAAAACATAATTCAATCTTGATTTATTTGGTAGTTCACTAATTTCGTTTATAATATAAACAATATCATGTATTTGACTAAGATTTTCTCTTTCTAAGAAAACTTTTGGTTTAAAAGTGTTTATGTAGTTTTCCATTTCTATAAACATATCATACGACTCTAAAAAGTCGAAATTTCTTTCATTAAGTACACGTTTAATATCTTAAAACTCGCATATGTTGTCTCCATTTGTCTGGTAAAATGGTAAGTTTTTTTTCCTTAAGAGTTAAATATTTTTTATACGTATCAGGATGATTCTTTTTTGTATATTCTTCAAAAGAGTCTATGAAAAATAATCCTTCTTTAATCAACTTTTGTTTTCTTTTATCAAGTATAGCTTCCATTTCTAATTAAATAATTTCTATTCTTTAAATTATTTATATGTAAACAAGGACCCGTCGTTTTGACGCCACCTTTTAATAAAAAAAGGCTTAAAGATTAAATTACTAACAAGTATATAACTCCTTTGTAACCAATTATTTGAGTAACTTGTTTTGCTTGAAACCATACTCTACATTTTTGTCAATTTAATAATTAAATTTTATTCCAAGTTTTTGATATTAGTACTAATATCAAAAATTAAATGTTTTTCTCAATTCTGTGAATTATTTTGTAATGATTATTAAGAGTTTTTTTTATTACAAAATGCTTTTGGGCAATATTTACAAAGAATACGAACACCAGCCATATATTTATGAATGAGTTTGCTGATCTTATCGTAATCATTACTTATAATAAATGCGTAATCATTATTACGATACTTCTCTTTCATCTTTAATTGAGATTCTGATACGCAGTAATTGTTAGTTGGTGATTTGAATTCAATACAGAGACCTTTATATTCCCTGTGGTAATCTAGAATTATTAGATCTGGTTGGCCTCTTTGATAACCTTTTTTATAGGAATCTAGTCTTTTTTCCTCTGTATCTTGATTCTCTCCCAACCCAGCTACTAATATTGAATCTGGATAATAATTTCTAATTAGTTGAACAACTTTGTAATGAAGGTCTGTCTCATTTTCTATTTTGAACATTTTGTTATTTGGGTTGTCAAACATTTTGTAAAAACCATATTTTCTTATCGAAGGTAGGACTGACTTGTGAGGTAATCCAATGTTTGAACTTCTTAGCTGTTTCTAATTTAGAGGATAACAAAAGGGAGTAAAAGCCTGATTTATTTATGAAATTATAATATTTACCTCTTAAATCAGAATTGTTGCCGGACCCATTTTGGGTCCCCAAACAAATCAGCTGTTTATCCTCACTATCAACATGTTTCAAGATAGCTTTTTTGGTATTACTATAGCCAAGTATAGTAGCTACACCTTTACCAACAAACCAAATATTTTGCTGTTTGTCAATAAATGATGACAATTCAATTCCTAAATCTTTATTAACAAACTTCTTCTCAATCATGTTTGGCATTTTAAATTAAAATTATATTCTTTAAACAAGAATTAATTTTCTGTTTAAAGAATATAAACAATAATATAAAATGTTACACACAATAGTAGAATATGTTAACTACAACTACCCCTTTTTTAAACATCTTCCATACACAGAAAATCTTATAAAAACATCACTAATATATAAATATTTATATGAAAGATATTTTAGTTTTAATGCGGATATAGAAAAAATAATTAACAAAATAGAAAAAAGATCTATTAGATCTAATAATCCTATTTTAAATAATCATCTAATGTTTTACAGAGCTTTTAAATCTTTTCATAAGCACTACAAAATTGGAAGAGGATGTGTATACACATTTGACTCTCCAATAAATAGTGAAGTATTAGGTTACCTAACTGGAATAAGTTATTGGTGCTTTCATAAAGGAATAATATAATCTGAAAATAAAATGGCAGCTGTTATTATAAAAAAAAAAGATTTAAAACGTCTTGCTAGTACATTACTAAAAGAAATGTTTGAATTTTTACATGATGAGTATATACTCTCCGAATTTAAAGAAATGAAAGAAATACAAAAAGAATTCCTAGAAAATCTTGCTTCAAATCATATTGATACGTTACACAGACAATTTAAAATAACAGAAGAAAAAAGAGAAGAATTAGTTAAACCATTCATAGTTGATCTAATGAAAATTGATGAAAATAGTTCAGATCTTGAAAAAAAATGTAATTTTGAATATGTTTCAAAACTTGTAGAAAATGCTATGAAAGATGGGGGTATTGATACAGAAGGAATATATAAAACTCTTATTAATTTAAAAATAGATTCGGAAATAAATGAAGATCTATACTATAAAACAAAGGCATTTTTAGATATCTTTAGAGTATTTGAAAGTGGATGTAGTTACTTAGAAGATTAAATTTTATATTTTTAAAAATATAAAATTATTTACTGGTACTTTCACAAAGAAGTGATTTGTAACTATCCCACCACTTTTCATAATTTTCTAAAGTTTGGGGGCTAATCTTTAGATAAACTAGTTTGTACTTTTCACAACCCATCTCTTCCAAAAGTTTTTTGATTAGATAAAAAATGCTTATCATTCTCTTCCGACAAAATTGTTTGTTTAGTATTTCCATTACATGGTTATCTATATTCATTAGTTTACTATATAATTCGTACTTTTCATCATCAGTTAGATGTAGTCTTTTTGAAACTTGATCAACCTTTTTTTCATAGTGATACTTTCTCTGATAAATACTCTTTTTTCGAAAATGAAATCGATCGTATTCTTTCAAGTCAAAATAACCTAATACATGGCCATTAGTTGTTCCACAGGAATCGCAAATATTATAACCTAATTCAACACAAAAACTATCGTTTTGGCAATTACTACATATAACTTTTCTAATCACATCATCTACTATTTTTTTATTATAATTATGTAATATTTCTAGATATTTTTTTATTTGATCTTCTGTATATGACATTTATTATTTTATATTTTATTACCTTAAAGCTATGGTTTTTACTCTATCCTCAAAGACCTTCCGCTTATCATCTTCACTACTCAGTGCTATTTTATTTACTTCTTTTGAATATATATCATGATTTTCACTTCTTATAATTTTCATAGTTCTCATTTGCTTTTCACCAGTAAATAAACGCTCAAAATAATGTTCAAAATCTATTCCCTTTTTTACAACATTCTTCTTTACACCTTTACACTTTTTGGTTAGACTACCATCCTCTATCTTGAAAGTGCAAAGCTTTGGACGAAGACCAATAAAATGAGTAATCTGTCTACCTCCTACTTCATCTTTAAACATTCCTATTACTTTTTTGTTTACTCCTGTTGGTATACCAGACGGATGATCAGGAGGATAATCAGAAGTGTCAAACTTAGCTAAAATATCACGAGAAATATCACGATAAAAATCATCTGTATGAATTTGGTATAAAAGTGAATCAGTATCTGTAAACATTAATTCAGCTTTTTTTTGATATTTCTTTTTGATATAATTGTAATGAAAATCAAACATTAATGTTTTTGACAAATCAAGTATTGCTTGACCAACATATACTGGTTTGTTAAAATACACTTCTGTACGCTTCATATGAACTGCAATAAGATTATGATCAAATATTGTTGCTCTATCAAAGTTTGGTTTACTTGTAAGTTTAGCAGCTTTTTTACGATCATCAATAAGAATTATATTCTGTCTTTTCCTTATGTTTTCTATTATCTTTCCAAAAACACTATTATTCATTAGTTTGAAAAAGTCTTTTTCAAAACTGTTAGCTGCTGTTTTTCGAAGTTTTGTATTTTTTCTTATATATGGCTCCATCCAAGAAGATTGGTAAAATGATATTCCTCTGTGAACAGCAGTAAGCCTCATTCCCATCTCAAGATATTGTCTAAGATTTCGATAATGTACAACATAGTTTTTTCTTGGTTTAAAATGACATATAAGTTTTTCTACTCCATTAACAATCATCTTTTCTGGTGCAAGTGGATAGTCATTATGTGATTTCCATAGTTTGGATGGATATTCCAAATCAACTTCAAATATATATCCTTTTTTACCACGATTTGACATACTATGATTTGCTTTCTCCATAATATCCATTACTTTTTCTATTGTTATATTTTTCATCCAACTGAAACCATGTGTTGGTAGTTGTTGTGACATTGCCGAACCATATAGATTATTTGCATCAAGATATTGAATATAAGTAGACTCTTTATCAGGATTATAATCTTTCATATATTTGTTATTTGCTTCTGCATATCTTTTTGATATATGGGATATACCTCCACGAATACCTCTCTCAAACATCATTAACTTATCGTAATCATGTAATAACTGTAAATGCTGACCTGTCTCTTTGAGACATGCATCCCAAGCTAGTCCGGGAGATGTGTAATAATGTGCTGGATCTAGGTTGTAATGTTTGAGACAAGTTGCTCTAAAGTTTTCAAATACATCCGCTAGTAGTAGAACGTCAGACTTTAGGTAAAGATCGTGATAATCTCTTATTGATTTACATTTAAAAGTGTTCCAAACATTAATAGAGTGTTGGTAATCATCATCACTTATTTCTTCATCATTTAGCTTTGAATAGAATTCCTCTTTTGGAGGTAAGCGTGTTTCGGATAGTTTTTCGAGTGATGAAACAAAATCATAAGGATAAACTCCCTTACGAGTTAGTAGGTTTACATTTTTCTTAAATACTTGTTTTGTATTATGAAAATCATCTGGTTGTAAATTTGAAACAAGATTGGCAAGTGATGTTTGAAGAAACTTGAATNAGCTAGTCCGGGAGATGTGTAATAATGTGCTGGATCTAGGTTGTAATGTTTGAGACAAGTTGCTCTAAAGTTTTCAAATACATCCGCTAGTAGTAGAACGTCAGACTTTAGGTAAAGATCGTGATAATCTCTTATTGATTTACATTTAAAAGTGTTCCAAACATTAATAGAGTGTTGGTAATCATCATCACTTATTTCTTCATCATTTAGCTTTGAATAGAATTCCTCTTTTGGAGGTAAGCGTGTTTCGGATAGTTTTTCGAGTGATGAAACAAAATCATAAGGATAAACTCCCTTACGAGTTAGTAGGTTTACATTTTTCTTAAATACTTGTTTTGTATTATGAAAATCATCTGGTTGTAAATTTGAAACAAGATTGGCAAGTGATGTTTGAAGAAACTTGAATGAATCTATAAATATTTTTTCAAAATTTATTGGTTTTATAAAACCTGATAAATCTTTGTATTCACCAACCTTAATATATTTTGAAAATGAAATATACTTTTCTTCCGTAGATGGTATACAGTTGAGTTCACCTGGTAAACTAGCAAGTTGTTTTATAAACAAATGAGCATCATAACCTTGAAGATTGTGAAGTATAAATGGTAGTATTTTTGGTTTACGACACATAAGATTACATTTGTTATGTGCTGCTCCACGATACTTTCCTGTAAAATGACAATGATCTCTTACTTTATCTTCTTTTAATTCTTTACTACAAATATGACAAATTTCCGCTTTATCAAATGATTTTTGTTCAACTCGTGTTAGTATAAGTGGTTTTGGACGATGATAAAAATCATTATATATACCTTTTGCTACTTCTGCAAGTTTGTTAACAAATGTTAATGCTACGTTATCACTATCATTAGTCTTTGTGTAAATAACTGGTTTAAATGATTTATTAGGAACTATTCCTTTAATGTAGTAACAAAATCCTGATGGTTCATGCTTTTGATAGTTGAAACTATAAGATTTTTCTGGATTAGGACTACATGTATTCATTGGTTTAGTAAAGCATTCAAAATCTGCATAAACTACAAAAGGCACTGGAAGTTGTTTGTGATAATTTTTGAAATATAGCATTGTACCTTCTTCTGGCATTTTTACAGAAACTGTTTCATTATTTGAACAATATGTAATATGTTTTTGTAATAATTCTTCTTTAGTGTAATGTGTAAAACACCTTTTGCAAATAAATATTTGACCATTATGACTTTTAGTTTTTTGAGAATTAATTAACCTATTAAAATTTTTGATTAGTGTGTAATGTGAAACACCATCTTCTTCGTATAAAAATAAATCTATGGTATTTAAACAATCTCTCTCTGCCATTCTCAAAGGATAAAAAATACAATTATCATCAGCTGAAAAAACATTAATTCCTGGAATTTCTGGATTAAGTTTTTCAAATTTTGAAATATCTTTTAATTTCATAGGAAAAGTAATTCCTTTAGTGTTAAGAGAATTTTCATACTTCTCTAAATCTTTTAATCTTTGTTCATCTCTTTCTCTTGGATAAAGATATCTAAGTATACACCAAAGAAAGCATTTCTCATCTTTGTTTTGTATATTAACAATTGCTTTTTTGTTTGATATCCAATCTGGAAGTTTGATATAAGATGAACCTTTCGCTGGATTAAACTCAACAGTATGAATTTCAAGTTGAACTACTTCTTTAAAATACCACGCACTTCCTTGTTGTTGGTATGCTTCAATTAATCCATTAATAGTGTCAGTACATGAATCTAAATTTTTGTCAATATCTGATGATTTTATATTTTTAAACGTAGCTGAAGGATAGTACGCTTTATGTTCTTCTAATGCTACAACACCCTTATCTTTCTCGATTAACTGTTTTTCCATTAAACAAACTAAAATCATCTTAAATTTTATATTTTGATGATATACTAGGAAATTCTTTAAAGTTTCCATTTTATCCCTAAAAAGCTCATCTACAGTAAATCCAGGTTCTCCTTTAATAACATATTTGTTAGCAAAATCTTCTAGAGCTGATTTTTCTTTAATAATACCTTGGTCATATTCTATCATTGCTCTCTCAAGAGCTTCACGTATATAATCAGGAGTATCAGGTGGAATTTGTCTATTTTTAATACATTCCTCAAAATACTCTTCAAATGTCTTTATCTTTTTCTTTAAAGAAGGACCCGTCGTTTTGACGGGAGCTTTTTTCTTTTTCCTTTCTTTTACTATATCAATTCCTTTTCTAACTTTCTCTCTAGCTTTTTGTAATCTTTGATATTGTTTAATTAATTTTCTTCTTTCTTCTAATTCATTATAATCTTTCTTAAGTTCTTCTCTTTCTTCTTGTATAATATGTCTTATTTCATCCAAAGACAAATTCTGAAATTCTTTATCTGTTATAAAGGGTTGAGAACCCTGAAAACCATTTGCTTGGTTAGACATGACGTCTTATAATATTAAGCCTATATTATAAAACGTAAATCCTTAATTTATAATTAATCTTAATCTTCATTATCTAATAAACTAACAATTTCATCATCACTATCTATTTCAACTCTAACTAAAGAATAAATAGTTTTTTGTTTTTCTAAAAATTTGTAATAAGCTTCTGAAAAATCTTTAATATCATTTCCATATATTCTAGTTAATTCTCTAGTACCCAAAATATCATCATCATAAATTTCATCTTTGAATATAATATCATTTACACTTTCTAGAATATACTCAATTTCTTTTAAATATTTATTAGCATCTTCATAAAATAAAATATCACTTTTTAATCGCCCTCTTTCTACAGCTCTAACATACTTGAGTAAGTATTGCTTAACTTTCTTTGCTAAAGGATGACTAAAAAATGAAAACCTTTCTTCAAAGTAAGAATAAGGTACATTTTTATAAAGAATTTTACAAATCTTATTAATACCTCTTATGACAAGCCATTCTCTGGGAAATTGACTGGCATATTCAGGTACATTTTATTTGAAAAAAGTGAGTGCTCCGCAAACCCCATTTCTATAACTACTCCTAGGACAACTTCAGTCTTTTCGAAATTAGAAGGGCTTCAGCATTATTTTCCCGAAAAATTTAGCTTGCAATTGAAAGTTTTAGGAAAGTGAGAATTTTATCGTATTTTCGGTTCCTAAAATTTTAGGATTCCTTTCTCTACGAAAAATAGCTTATCCTGGGGAGTGAAATGGAAAAAATTAAACTTCAGAAAATCGTAAGGAATTTATTAGATAAACTTCGAAAATTGTACATGCATGGAACGGTCATCTAGAATGGCTTAAAGAAATATGTTAAACTAATTTATTCAACTTCATTTCTCTGTGCATTACTGCTAATAAATATTCCGGTGGCATCATAACTATAATTTTCCGGCGACATAACTTCAGTGCCTCGCATGCGATAGCAGGCCTTTTTGCGACTCCGGTCAACAGCCGACAGCAGGATGAAATGGTTTACACTGATCTCGCGTTCATTCCAGGCTAGACGACTATTAAGTGGTGATTTTCAAATGGCTACGATTACGATCAAATTCCAAAACAGTCTCAATTGGTATATTTGATTCACTACGACCAGTTATCAATGCTGATTAAATCCGTTGAAAACCCAAGGCATTTTTATCATCTTAGCAGTTTTAATGAAGCGTGTTCAGCGTGTCTTACCCAAATTGCACGCTAAGCGTGGTATAATTCGCACACTTACCGTGACATATAGCACGCTACAAAAAACAAAAGGTCTAGCGTGTTAAATTTACCAAAGCAAAGGCAAGTGTGTCCGTCTTTGTTTTTTCGATTTAATATGCGCATATCCGTGATCTACGGCACGCTAGGCGTGTCGTGCAAGCGTGTCGTGAGCGTGCTTTCACCTTTAGCATCAAATTCCTGTGGAGGGTCACAATTATGGTAGCAAAACTTTTTTATCACAATATCAGGAAGCTTAAGCAACCGCGACGGCAACAAGAACGGCAAAAAGGAGGACTTTATTAGCAAACCACAACTTCGCACGTACATCACGCTGTATTGTTTCAAAATTTCACGCGAAAAACAATGCGAATTCACTTTTTAAGTGACGTTTTCTGGTTGTTGTCATCCAGAAAATTTGCTACCGTGGCAACGTGACGTAACGTCTTTTCAAACAGCAGCCGTTTTTACAGCCTAATCTAATAATGCTTGGATAAGCTGATGACCATGAGATTAAATCATATCTACCGTATATCTAGGCAATTTTTTGAAAACCAACAGAACGAAATTTGCAGTCATTTGAGTGAAAAGGTGTCAAAAGGCAGGTTTTTTAAGCCCGAGAAGCTCCAAAATCACAGTAACGAAGGAAAGGAGAAAAAAGAAAGAGCGGGGAGAAGGAAAGGAGGAGAAGACAAAAAAGCGATGGTTGCACTCTTAGTTTTTCACAATAGCCACTTTGGAGACGCAAAACGTTCATTTGGTAATCAAAAAAATGCGGCTAAATATATATCTTATGGTTCACAATGATAGGCCATTTCCGAGTTCCCTGGGCCTCTGTATCAAAACGAGGTTAAGTGCTCAGCCCCTTTGATATGGAAATGATTTTTCATTCTCATGTTAATGAAACTCATTTGTTCAAGATTGTGCACTTGGCCTCATTCTGATGTTTTGATATTTTTATCTTACTTGTACTTGAATTTATGCTTAGCTCGCGAATTTAGTTTGGAATATTCTTCTCAGATGTGAGTTTTTCACAGGTGGTCGTGTTGGTGAGGTTAGAGCTGACCCTATTTCATTATTCTCTTTGAAGTTCCTGTTTGTAATTGGGTTTGGTATCCAACGTTTTAGCTTTTCATTGGTTTGTAGCTTTTTGTCGAACGCAACCAGTACATTTAGTTATACCAAAACATTAACCAGCCCGAGGTTACCTCAACTCTAATCTTTCTCTGTCCGTTCGTTGATGTATCGGTTTTCCCTTCTACATGAAGACTGTCCTAACGATCCTCAGATTGACTAAGATTGTGAATGGATAGCAATCGTTCTCGTCAGTGGAGACAGCCTTTGCTATTTAAGTCCTTAATAATTGATGATACGCGGAGAAAAACCTAATTTGTAGCAAGGGAGAGAACTAACAACAAATTAACTCAACCCATGCATGTATGGCGTCGGTTCAGAGATTTCAAACCGGGCCGCATTTTCTAAGCCAACCTTATTTCCCTATTCCCTTTCAAGCCTAAATACACACAAAAAAAATAACACTTCTTTTAACACAGCACAAGTTTCATAGTATTTTATTTCTTACGTCTTTAAACTATTAACATTACAAGGTCTGTAACAATTAAATGTTTCATTTTTCGCCTGCTTTTCCCGGCTACACTTTCCAACGTTGTTGTGGTCTAGCTTTGTCTTCTAATACCAGCTCACAATCTAGTTTACGGGCAGCTGCACAAACACTTATTCGGTACATTAGCGCCTAACCTAAAAGGAAAAGATGTATTTAATACCTGTGGGAGGTAGTCTATAGTTAGGCTTTATTATTATTTGAAGTTTTTAAGGCAAAAGAAATCTTAAGGACGCTTTACAAGCTCAAGAAAAATTGTATTCAATCGTCTCAATATTTGATGGCATTTATGTGCATTAGCGAATGTTCTTAATTCGATACACATGCACGGCGACCTGCTAAAGAAACACAACCATTTTGCTTACCTTTTGGCCGCCTTAAGATCAGGTTTAAAGTAGAACTTAGGCCAATAGCTGATATGTAGACAGGCATATTAAAACACGAACACACAAAAGTGTTTTCTATAAAGGATCGACAGCGAAACGACTAAAAACAAAGCGGTTAGCGGTGCTTGAATCAACTGTGTCATTTTCTCACTACGTATATCTTTTACAAGGTATTCACCGCAGGACGTTTTGCTTACACACCCAAACAAATTGGCCGTCGATAAAACCCGGAACACGGAACATTTCGGAACATGCCGGAACATTCCGGAACATGCCGGAACATTCCGGAACATTCCGGAACATGAAAAAATAAAAATAGTTTTCATGAAAAAAATATATATATATAATAATAATAAAATAATTTTTGTAAAAATTAATATTAACGTAAAATAACAAAACAAAACGAAAAATAATGAAATAATCAAGAAAAAGAAACTGGTATCCTCTCTGAGTATGTCGCAACAAATTAAAATTTGTTGGGCGAGTGAGGGTTCATGCAAATGACAGTAATGAGTGAAGGCTTACTTCTAAATTCACAATATATTAAAATGGGTCGCGAGGAGGGGTTTTTTTTAAGCGTTCCTCACAGAGCTACCCCTTGTAATTGTTTGCCATGAGTTAATCATTTTACGGTTCTGCAATGGTCTGAAATGTCGGTTCAGTACTTCATGTCAAGCCAAGTCGGTAAGTAGCTGATTTCAAGCCAACATATAGCCTCCTTATATATAACCGACATTTGCTTACTTGAGGTACTTTGCTTTACTTGAGGTTGACATGAATTACTTACGGACTAGGCGGCTCTGTGAACTTAAGAAGAGTATAGGAGCTCCTGTCTTTGGATTTTAGTGGACAATACTCATATTCGTAGTGGTTTCCATACTGTTTACAGTCAGCACGATATTTCAGACGTCTCCTCGAGTCGCAAGAGGAGTTTGCGGGGAGATGGCTAAAATTCAGGCTAAGTGATGACAATTAGAAACTACCGCTGCGCTACCACTGCCACTGCAACTATTCACGGCGAATGTGAAACTTTAATTTAAGTATCCAAGTCCAAAGCGACGAGCCCCTAAGCTCCTCTTACGGTTGCAAAGCCGTAAATGAATAACCGTTAAACCGCATGGCAAACATTTACAAGACGTGGCTATGTGAAGAAAGCTTGAAAACCCTCTCTTCGCGACCCACTTTAATATATTTGGAATTTAGAAGCAAGCCTTCACTCATTACTGTCATTTGAATGGACCCTCACTCGCCCAAAAAATTCATTGCGACAAAATATTGTTTTCTCATACTCGGAGATGATACCAGTTTCTTTTCTTTCTTTCTTTGTTTGTTTCTTTATTTTTCATTATTATGTTATGTTATTTATTTTGTTATGATAAATTTTTGCAAAAATTGTTTTCTAACTATTGTTCTTTCTATTATTTATTATTATTATTATTATTGTTGTTGTCGTTGTTTTTATTATTATTTAATTAATTAATTATTTTTTCATAGAAAAATGTTTCAATTTTTTCATGTTCCGAGATGTTCCGGGATGTTCCGGAATGTTCCGGAATGTTCCGGGATGTTCCATGTTCCGGGTTTTATCGACGCCCCATACTGAGTGGTCATGTTCTTAAACTGATTGCAACTGGAATATTTTATGGATTTTTAAATATTTACAAAATTTAAGGCTTTTACGCGAGCAAAATATTGTCAGATTTCAAAGGCCTAAAATCACATCCGATACATGATTTCTAAGAGAAAAAGACATTCCACGTTGAAAAGCAATCTCTAAGCTTTCAAAATATACTTTCAAAACTCTAGGCAACATATGAAATGAATTTTTGGGAACCCAAAATTCACAGAGCACTTGAGTGTAATTTGACCTTTCTTTTTCGACTGTCAAGAGGTTCCGCGCGACACAAATCAATTCTCCAACAAATGTTTCAGCCAAAATACGTTTAGTTTAAGGGTTAGGTCTCAAGTCCCACAGTGATACATAGATGCTTCATATACATTAGGTGGAGAGTTTCACCGCCACCCCCGCCACCCTCGCCACCCTCGCCACCCTCGCCACCCTCGCCACCCCCGCCACCCTCGCCACCCTGGCCACCCTGGCCACCCTCGTCACCCTCGTCACCCTCGCCACCGCTGCCACCCTCGCCACCACCGCCACCACCGCCACCCTCGCCACCACCGCCACTCTCGCCACCCTCGCCACCCTCACTACCCTTGCCACCTCCGCCATCCTGGTCGCCCTTGCCACCTAACCCTAACCCTATGACCCTACTCAAGTCTCACCGCTTGCATCCCTTCACCCGTCACATCCTACATCCTTGCACTTCCTACATAACTGGTACATTACATCTCTCACCCTTGCACCTCCTACAATCCATGAAATCCTTACACCCTTCCTCCACCCCTGTAACACCTCATATCCCTGTAACACGTCATATCCCTGTAACACCTCATATCTCTGTCGCTCAAAGTAGCCCCGTCGCTCAAAGTAGCAGTAGTACTTCTCTCGCACCTAATTCCCTGAAACCTTCCTTTAAATGGAAAACAAAAACAAAACCAAAGTAATCACATTAAAGTTTAATCATTTTCCCATAAACCAATCAGAATCCAGCTTGTAAGAGCTGCGACATGACCCTAAATTCGGCGCGCAGAAGACAAGGTCTGATATTTGACGCAAATTTGTATCCTGTCCTAAAATGAGTTTATTGACAGATGAACTGACAGAAAGCGATTAATGTGCACACCTGAGGTGCGCAAGGAAATGTGTCAGAGGGTGTATTGAGAAAAAAAAAAAAGAAAGAGGAAGAAAGAAGAAGCGCTTCGGTCAGATGATGGGCTATAGGAATGGGTTTCGACTAAATAATGACAGTTAAATTTTTGTGTAATAAAGTTGAATCACTCACATTGAAGTAGTCTTCCCCGGCTCTCGTTTCTGGTCAGTTCTACTATTGTACTTTAATGTGAGTAATTCAATGCTGTATTAAACAAAAATTTAACCTTTATTTAGTCGAGCCCCTGTTCGCTATAGCCCATGGCTAGATGTGATTTTTTCTGTTGTGGATTCTGTTGGTACACAGAACTCGGAGTGATTGAGTTTCAGCTAAAAACTCCAGGGAAATCTCAATTAATTAATATTACCGTTACGATTTCCAGTATTCTTTACTGAATCCAAAGAGCAGGACTGATGGACTCTCGTTGGCTGTGAATCAGTATAAAGGGCTTGATCCAATTCAGTGATTACAATGCATTAATTACTGTACAAACTATTTTGCCAAAAAAGACGGAAATTGAAGGAATTTAAAGAAACGTTATGCTAAATTAGCTGCTCAAATTTGACTTGGTCCTTGTCATTGGATAAAAACCCAGTCAGATATAGCTTGTATGTCTTATTTTCCCAATGATATTCATAAGAAGGGTTTCTGTCATACATGGGATCGTCTGCCTCATCTTCAGGCGAGAATTGCGAGTGACTGGTGATGAAGCGTAGAGGATCATGGGAACGAGAAGAAAGAGAAGCGAAGCGATGTGTCGTCTGTTCTCTCCTTCCCTCCTTCCTTTGCGCGCGAGAGAAAAACTTCTGTGTAAAAGAACGGGTCGCCCTATTCACCACCGAGCATCTGTACATGTGAGCATAATGTGAAACTCTCCCGAGGAAGTCTCTTGCCTGATAGGTAAATTGTTAGTCACGTCTCTTCTCCTACGAACACATTTCCATAAAATATCTGTAAATTTTTTAGTTAAAATTACAGCCAATAAATTCGCAAATAATGTTTTTGAAGGATTATGATAAACTATTGTAAAAGTTTATTCAGAACTGTGAGAAAAATGATAAAAAGTCATCAGGAAATATTGTTGATATTGTAAAAACAAATATGGAATACATGCATGGAAGGGATAGGTGTAAAGCGACTGTGATCGATATTTAACCATAATATTCTATTCTAAAGTCATGACAAAGTTTAAAACGCCATAAAATTGAGGTATAATTAAAACCTTTATTTCTTGAATACATCAGTTACAGTTCAACTGCCAGAAACAGAAAAACATTTAATTGTATCCTTAGATGTTCAGTTACGTATTCCTTAAATCTAATCTATTACTTTGATTAACTATTTCCTCTTATCTTATCATATTTTTCGTGTCTAATCCCTTAAGTACGATACTGAGATCCGGTAAAACCGAAGCAGTGAGACGAGATTATTTTTGCCCACAGCTGATATCTCCTCCGAGGTCATCAAAATTGATGTGACCCCATCCGCCACTGCTGTAGTCCACCAATTTGACACCTGCTGTTCGACCAACAAAGGCATGAACGTCCCAGAATTTGCGAGACATGGTTTCAGTACATGAACCAGTAGAACTTTTGACGACCTGAAAAAGAGAGGCAGATGCAATTCAGCTTCTTGCAAGCGACCCCTCAAACTGACTGATGACAAGCTAAGGGAGTCTTTTGCAACATGTGAAAGACACTCTGAACTTTCAATGTTCATTAACCTCGGAAATATTTTGTCTCATATCAGAAAAATTTCAGCAAAATACCCTTAGGCATTCGTAGAGTATATATATATATATATATATATATATATATATATATATATATAGTTAATGGCTAGGTGTTGCACCCATTACGATATTACCCAGCAGAGTTTGAAAATGAAGTGAACCGCAACAAACTAAAAACTGAAAGCAAGTCTGTCAGGCTGTCTTACTTGGTGATCAACAATCAACTCAGCACGAACTTTCTTAATGTCACAGCCTCCTCCAATCAAGAATGAGATCCGTTTGCCAACGATCTTAAAGAACGGGGAAGCAAGAGTTCCTTGGGGACCATCTCCCTGAACTGCTCCAGGTTTTGCTGCCTTGGATGGCCTGTTTTCGGCCCCTCCGATCCACCAGTCCCCCTGCTGTTTGGCAGGTTGTCCTCTATTGCAAGCTGTTGGATTGTCACCGTAGGTAGGTTGATTGTTAAATGCTGTTCCAGTCCTTTTCCAACCACTCAAGCCCGTTTCGAAGTCGAACATGCATGCTTTAGAAGACAGAAAAAAAAATTTGAGTGATATTTGTAACATGCCTCAACCCTACAATATTTAACCAGCTGACTGAGGCTATAAGCTTAGCTCAACAAAAAACTGTTCAAAACCGTTCAAAGTGTGGACAATACTGTCTACTGTAATTCAAGCCATACTCCGACAAAACTAAGCATGTAGTATCAATATAGAACTTTAAACGTGACTCTTCTGTTAAACGGACCCCCATCATCTGTTGTTAAACCACCATAATACATCACTACAGAACAAATTAAGTTTTAAAAATTGGTAAAACTATTTCATTAATTTCGGTCTCACTTTATAACTTACAAGCATGAATAAGAGCTTTAAAACTATGCAAGTACAAATTGTTAAAACCTACAGACTGACATCTATAGTCTACCGAAGAGAGTTTTAAAAAGTTCGGCTTTTAATTTACAGGGGCGCAACCAAAACTGAAGACAACTTACTGAGGGTGTAAAAACGACTGGAAGTAATCGTCTGAAATTCGGGCTAAGCATTTACTAGCTGGTTAAGATGATTCAGTGCAAAAACATCAATAATACTTAACAGGGAAATATGTTTCTAGTGAGAATGTAAGTTTTTAAGGAGCCTCGTTCATTTCATAATTTTTTTTAAACAAATGTCTGAAACAGTCTGCAAAAAAAAGAACTCATCCTAAGGCCTTTCAGTTCAAAACTCTAAACAAAAAGTAAAGAAGTTACTCGGGTCCTCAACAAATCACTCAGTAATACACTAAAGGGTCACCTCGCTGGCATCAATGTTAGACCCCTGACTGTTTTGTCGCCTTACACTATAGCTTACCCACAGAAAAATATAGCTAGTAAGTATTACTTACCACGTCGATTCGGATGCATTGCGGAAATCTTTTCTTCCAAGGAAGCTAAACTCTTTTGTATCTGACTTAGAGCAGTTTTAATTTCTTTGTCATGGCACAAGTTTACAGTATTTTTGTTTCCTTCGACGACGATTCCTTTGTCTTTGTAACTTTGACTGCTCAGATTTGTTCCGGCGTTAGTTTTGTTGGCGCTGACAACACACTTAAAAGCGAAAAAAATCGCCAAGAAAGCGATAAAAGAAATTCCAGAGTTAATCATTTGGTAACGAGTGGTTTCTCAAGAGATTTCTCAGTGTGTTTGGATCTCTTGAGCTCGAGGTTATGAGTCACTGGAATAACACTTTTTGCTTCCTTGCCGCGTTTCGGAAGTCTCCCGCTCTAGAGCACGATTTTTCTTGTTGAGAGATATCTTTTATAGCTCTTTAATATTCAGATACATAATTACAAAGTGTTAGCCCGTGAGCTTATTTGAAATTTATGAATTACATACATATGGTCTTCTCTTTTTAGTGTATTCTAGTAATCCCGGGCTCATAAAAATTTTCTTAGACATACAACATACTAACTAAAAAGGCTTTAAAAATACTGATCCTTATTAATGTTTCAACTGCCATTAAACTCTAAGACATTTGATGTGCCTAGTGCGAAGCACATAGACGTTAAAGCAAACAAATATTCGTTTAGTACTTCATATAACTGCAAAATATGACCTACTTGTAATCTGAAATAAATAGACAAAATAAATAAAAAATTTAGACCCCCCTCCTCCGCCAAATCAAAAATGGCAAATTGAAGTGACGCGTTTTGGCCTTCGCGCGGCTTCTCCCTTGATTTCTGGCAAGAAGAAGGAAACTAGCGTTAGGACAAATATGTTTGGAATATGTAACAATTAAATATACATAATTGTGATGAGTAATCTTGAGGAGTTTTGGGATATTCGGTCAAGAAAGAAGAACGTAGCGATTAGAAGGAACCAATTCGATTCAGAGGACGAAAGATCAGGACGAATTATAGTGTTTTCGACCCCGTGGTAATTGACCAAGAGAACAACTCACCCGAGCAAACGAAGTCTTCACAGCGAGTAAGAAGTACTAATTCCGAGCCAGTGAAGAAAGTTTATAAGTTGCAATTCTTATTTGTTCGTTGCGCTTGAGTCGTCTATTGTATGTCTTAGTTTTCTCAGTCCTGGTTTTCTGCTGTCTTCGCTGGATTTGATACACTAGCCTGCTGCCGTGCATATCGATTTTATAAACAGGACCATGTCTGTATTTATATGCGCCCATTGTACACTGAAATGTTGCAGCTGCCTCTCAGGATTTTTTTAAAATTTTGTTTTCTTTTTTTATGACAAGCTGGATTTGACAGATTTTAGGAATTTGTGAGTTGTAATTTAACCTTTTTGAGATAATTCTTAAGAGTAACAGATTTTCGTACTTGTGGATTCCAGTATTTGCCGGAATCCTGGAACCTCCAGTTGGAAATCGAGTTAGAGATTGAACTGGACTTCAATTTCGCCGGTTTAGAATTAGTTACACTTCGAGTTGTACCTCGATGTGATCTTTCCTTTTTTCTTTGATTCTCTTTGTGTTTGTTATTGTTACTTGTCTTGGTTTATTTGTTTCCTCGATTGAATCATGCAGTATGGCATTTTTTTCCCGGGCTCAGTATATGGTTCTGACACATCTTTTGTTCAAAGATTCTTCGCAACGATCCTCGACGGGGAAAAGAGATTGTGGCTAGCTCTTCCATACACATAACCCTGCAAGAAGTCCAATTTTTTACAACCTGAATTCCTAAGTCTACTTTACTCGGTACTCCAACATTATGGGGTAGTGATAGACCAACAGAAAGACCATGGGTGCTTACCATTTACTTAAATTTTTAAGTTTAAAAATATTTTGACGCATGGTGGTTAAACGACCCGCTTCAAAGTATGTTCAGATGATTTGAATATACGGAATGGCGCGAACCATTAATCTCGTACCCAGATCCCCTACGGCCTAATGAAAAACAGAGTGAGATCTGGGTATGAGATTAGCGAACCATTTGATTTTCCTACCGAAATTTCCGGTTTCCTCATGTAAATGGTAATTAACCCAGCTCTCTTGACAGGCTGTTAAAACCAATATGACGCAATGACACAGGTTTCTTATCTTAAGACTTCACGGACTTCGTCATTAATTTCGTATCGATTTCATAGGGAGAACGAAAGTTATAAAAAAAATCACGCTACCGGCATTGTTTGAAAGATGAACCAAATCTATATACCAACATCACAAAGGAGGAAGGAATCTACACTATATGCAAAGTATATCTCAATTCTTACTGCAAACGTCACTTGGAGATCTTAGAAGAAAACTTGACTCATTCCGATTGACTTGAATAATATCTTTAAACCCTCAGTGATGGGAACGAAGGTCGACGTTGCTTTCGCAAATATCTTTATGGTAAAAGTAAAAACAGAAATTATTTAACAAAGGGGCTATAAAGCTAAACCAGCCTCCTGGAAAGGGTATACAGACGACCCTCTCTTGCGATACTATACAATTAAAATTGTTATTACAAAGGAGAAAGGTTCAACAGCACACGGTGGTCGGTTGCTAGGGCTTTTGCTCCCATACCTCTCAAAACCGAGAGTTTAAGGCCATAGAGAGAAGTAGAATGCATCGAATGTAACAAAACTTGGCAAGGAAGTAAGTTGATAAATTACCTATTTATTGGTGTTTATTTCATCCCA